TGGCAATATGTTAAAGTAGCTTAAGTCAATTTAATCACAGTTAGGTAATTGGTATTCTTCGAAAAAATCGGGTTCATTATTTATAATTATTTTATCGTTATTTAAATAATCCAAACTTAACTATTATCGACTAGTGTCGAACGAATTTGTTTTACAGACTTAAATTACTTTATTGAAACCAGTATAAGAAAAGGTAGAATAACAACAAAGAATTTCATTATTTTTCCAGTAGGTGCCTTTCGGAATCTGTAACTCGCGTTATATAAATGCGATCGAGTTCCGCCGGCATGGCAGAAAAGTTTGTGATTGCTGACTGAGTATTGTTTGAGCACGCGTCAAATATGGACATCAGCGAAAAGAAAATACACCACATTTTCTACGATAAAAGCTAAAATGTAAGCCCGGCGGCTGAAAATATGAATAGTGTTCGTGGTCTTGCAACTCGATAAACAAATAATGGAAATCATCGAGTCCGACCAACATGTAAGCACTGTTTCGATGGCCCAGGAGCATTGCACAAAAAACCGTTAGGAGCCATTTAAATAAGGCTGTATCCCAAAAGCAGCTCGTTTTACGGGTTTATCACGAATAACGCAAAAAAAATCGCATCCATCTGCCAGTCCCTGGTGAAGCGCGAAAAAAATTTCTGAATCATCTGAAGGAAGTTATCGCCTAGAAGCGGCCAATTTTGGCGAGTAGGGGAGAAATTGCGTGCCATCAGGGCAACGCCAGGCTACAATTATCGATAGTGACTCGCCAGAAGCTCTGTAAGCTTAATTGAGAGGTTCTTATGCATTCTTATTATAGTCCGTAGCTGGTACCAAATAATTACTAACGTTTCTGACTATGACGAATAATTTTGCTGGTGAAAAAATCGCCCCATATAAACTTGTGAAAAAAACGTTTGTCAATAAGGACGAGGGTTTCTATGCGAGTCTCATTATGAAATTACCTTAAAAATAGCAACCAGTTGTCGAACAGACGATACATAATTGACCTTAATCGGATCATTATAACATACAAAAAATTTCCTTAATTCGCCCTAAACACCACTTTTTGGGATACAACTCCTTTTGAACCCAAATTCTGGCCTCACTGCTGAGAAAGTAAGTTATTTTCCCAATTCATCATAGTTTTTTTTAACACTACAATGAAAGTTCTATATCGTTTTTAGTGTGAACCAAATCAAAACTCGAGTTAAATCATCGCCATTTTGGTGCTTGGCTTTGAATACCATTTTTAAACTCTTCTTTTTAAACACGATCTTTTTATGTCAATACTGCAATGTTTTGCAACAAAATTATACAAAATTTTTTTGATTTTGTGATTATTTTGTTAATTTTTCGCCGTAAATTATGCCAAAATGTCAAATTCTCAGATTTTCTTAAACCATCCTATGAGAATGCTTCAGAGTGGTTTATATACCCAAAACATTACATTCGAGTTTATTTATAAACACAGAACGTTAAACTTGAGTTTGTACCACAAATTAAAGGTACTTATTTTTCGGGTGGGGGGGCTTTTAATGCCTTCCACATTATCACTGCTGTCGTTGCAGCAGCGGTACGTGCCGCTTGCAGGTCACTAAAAACCCCCCCTCTAGGGAACCGTCGCCCACCCTGGAACCGTGTTTGCATTACTTCAGGGTGGCGTTCCATTTTTCTCATTGAGAGATTTACATCTGCGCACCTGCGTCCAGGTCCCGCTTTTTGCTGCGTAGCAAGTTTGCAGCGAATATCTGGATGATCCCCCAGTTTGCTTCGATCTCCAGCATGACGATGATAAAATTGGCCGTGTTTATTGGACCAACCCGATCTTCTACGGCAATGCGTTCCCGTTGTCATCGCGTACATTCAAAGAATGTGTGTTCAGTGTCGTTTTTTATCGCGTCGTTGTATGGGCATGACGGCTTTTTGACTTTTCTCCAACTGTGGAGATACTTTTGAAGTATCCGTGACCGGATAGCAATTGTCTCGTGTAGAAGTCGACTTCTCCAAATTTCCTGCTTGTCCATAAGTTTACATCTTTTATGAGTCTGGCCGTCCATCTGCCGCGACTCTCATTCTCCCATCTTCGTTGCCATGCTGACATCGAATCTTTCTTTATTAGTTCAATTGCCCTCTTATTATTCTCAGATGTTTTCTTTAGCTAGTAAAGGTACTTAAAGATCATTAACTCGACACGAATCATGCCGTCTCTAGTTAATTCAATTTTATTGAGCTCACACGTTACAAAAGGAACATATACACCACTTACATATTTATGTATACATATCTTATGAACAACTTAAACATCACTTCATCAACATCAACATCTTTTCCATTGCTTAACATTAGTAATCACAATCGCTTAGCGACTCAGTCTTAACTTGTACCCCTGGGGGCGAGTGTTGGGCGTGCCAGTATTCAAAGCTTTGCGCCAGATCCTCCACATCCTCATCGCCACATTCAATAGCAACCTCCGGTTCCGTTGGCCTATTGCCGTTGCCGCCACTAGCAGCAGCAACCGCACCACCACCACCACCGCACTCTTCACCCGCATCCGCATCGTCCATCCATTTGCGCTTCAACAGCGGCTTGTCACGTTTATACCGCTTCATATTGCAGAATTTCACATAGATTTTACCACGTTTCTCGGTGCGATAGTATTCCAACTTTTCAGTAGGGAAAAGCTGCAATATCTGCTGCTCCAAATTATGACTGACGCGCAGCGACAAATGATAGTCATTCATATCGAAGAAATTCACTATCAACTGTATGAGTAGCGTACGATGTACATTCATAAAATGCTGATGCTGCTGGTAGTATTCGAGCAGTGAGAGACCCTTAAAACCCGACGAATTCAGTATATGCAATAGTGGACCGTTATCAACTTCTTCGTCGTCCGTGTCGTTGATGAATTGGAATTGTGGCGTTAAGCGTGTACCGCCACCACTAGTTGTTGTTGCAGTTGGTGTTGCTGTTGTTGTTGTGCTGATGTCTGACGACGCATTCATTGCATGCTCCGGCATAATGCCGTCCTCCAGCAAGCTCGGCTGACGTGTCAGCTGTGGCATCTCACGCAACGCATCCTTAACGGGCGCCAGCGGTGGCGGTGTCTTACTCTGTGTCGGCATTTTAAATAACACCTCTGACGTATTGGTCGCAACGTTGACGCAACGCACCGCCACAGTATTCGTAGCACGTGTTTGGACACTTTTATGAACCGTTATCGCCTCACTTGCTGCTGCTGTTGATGGCGGTGACGGGGTATCGTGTTGTAAGTGCGTTGTGCGTGTCAACGTAGAACAGGGGGTGTAGTGTTGGTAGTGATTTGGTGTTCTGACATCCAGCAATGGTCGATTTTGATCACGACGCCAACGCTCGAAGTAATATTCAAAGCGTATGCGTGTGCCCAGTTTGTAGGAATGTAAGAGTTCGCCGAAATGGTGGCATTTCATCATTTTCAGTTCGTCGATGCCGATGCTTTCGTCTGTAAGAGAGGGGGGATGAGAAAGTTTAGAACTATTAGTCTTTTTTTTGGATTTGTTTGCTTAAATGTGAAGGTGTATATACCTTGAAATTGTGGAAACAGCTCGGGTAAACCCCAGCTGTTTAATAAGTTCTTCAGTGCAGTTGTGTCCATCCTGTCCATATTTTACAAGCTGAAATGCTGAAATGGAATTTAGTATGAAAATCATTTTATAGAATATTTTCATGAATATACCGTATATGTATAAACTTACTTTCTGTTACGAGTATATCCTCAATTTATGTACATATGTATGTATGCACTTAAAAGCTCATCAAAACATTTCTTACATAAATACATATATACACATTTGCAATTATTATCGCCACTCTCCGTTAAAAATCAGTTATTTGTTTTTGTTGTTGTTAATATTATTTTCTTCACTGAAAAAATTCTCTAAGCATTTTTTTTTGTATTTGATGTACTATACATCCAGCCAGAACGAAAGCGTGCATTCAACTAAACCAGAAGTAAAACGCTACATCCAAACCGGACAACGTACGTAAGTACATATGTATGTATATATTGTATGTATATATGTAAATACAACTGTACACAACAATTCATCTTTTCAATGAATGCCACTCACCAACAACTTCAAGCTGGCTTCTTCTATTCAATGTAGCTTATACTAGTTACACAATGGTGCTGTGTAGTATATATCGTTCTCTTTCGCACACAGTCGCATTGAATATGAATTAAATTATTCGAGAAGTAAAAGAATAATACGAAAATGTATTTCCATTTTAACAACAGTACAGTTATATCCGTTTGCGACTATGTAAACATATACCATAAATATGTGCATACATAAGTATATGTATTATACAAAACATTTCACTAAAGTCATAAATGCATACTTATAATTTTAATCAATTTTATTCAAAAATGTACTCAGGGCATCTTGATGTATCCGCATTCATGTATGTACATACATTTGTACGTATGTACAAGTATGTATATATGTACTTATGTATACATTATAAGTACGTAGCTGGAATACGTTTAGGGCTTTGTTAGCACTAATATACATATGTACCTAACCGCATTTGTATGTAAAAATTTATGTATATAAGTATGTAGTTATGTAGAATTAATGTTCATGCGTACTGTTCGTTCGTTCGTATACACGATGTATTTATTCACTTGCATCGTCACAGGTACAGTGGGCTGAAGTCATGCAATATGTGGTTATGAAACAATTATTGCAATTTTAGCTGTCCTCGATTCGCCAGGCATTGAAGAGTAGCCAATCGAACAAAATATGCTAAAACAAAACGGGCAGAACTTGTGGTGCAACCCTACGCTGACATTTAATTTTATAATGCCAGTCTACTAGAAAAATATTATATAGGAACGATGGCTATAGGCAAAAACTGGTCGTTCTCTTGAGCCAAATTTTTCACCAGCCAAATCATTCACCATTTCTGGTGAAACACATTTCCTCTCCTAATGGCCATACCTGGCGGCTTCTGAGCGTTTGCTTTCTTCATAATAGGAGGTTCCTTGGCAATCCCACCAAAGACATAGCAAAGCCTTACTGACGGTCAATACTGGTTTGGCAACCGTTTACGGCAACTCATCACGATTCGACAACGACCGCTTTCGGTTGACGTTGTCATCAGTTATCCACTTTTCATCACCAGTTACAACCTGCCTAACGGTTGTTTTTATCACCTAAAACTAATCGAGTTAGATATAGGGTTATGTATATATAAATGATCAGGATGAAGAGACGAGTTGAAATCCGAGTGACTGTCTGTCCGTCCGTCTGTGCAAGCTGTAACTTGAGTAAAAATTGAGATATCTTTATAAAACTTGGTACACATATTTCTTGGTACCGTAAGACGGTTGGTATTGCAGTAATCAAAAACAAATAAATTGCCATAACTAAGCTCCGCAATAAGATATAAAACTGTTATTTGGTACACAGGATCACATTAGGGCGGGGTATCTGCAGTTTAAAATTTTTTTTAAAGTAAGCGTGGTCCCGCCTCCTAATAAGTTTAATGTGAATATCTCCTATACCACTGAAGCTATAATAACAAATTTCACTGGGAACATATGATTTTAGCATCTCTATCGACGGTGTGGAAATGGATGAAATCCGGGGACAAGCCCGCCCAGTTGGCGCGATAAAACAAGCGCGATAAATCAAGCACTAAACAAGCCAGAGACATTAAATTTTATCTCTGGGACGATATAAGACTATTTTATAGGAACCACGTTCAAAATTAGATAGTGGGCATGGCACCGCCCACTTTTAGGTGAAACCCCATATCCTGCGATCTGCTTAACCGATTTCAACCCAATGCCTATAGTTGACCTTCTACCGAAAATATCGGTCAATCCACAAAGAAATCTCAAACGAGTATACCATTTGACTTTGCGAGAGTATAAAATGTTCGGTTACATCCAAACTTAGCGCTTCCTTACTTGTTTATATAATATTCGTGTTTTATGAATTTTTATGGTTTCTTGGTAAGAAAGTATGTAAGCTCTTAGTTTTAGTAGAAATATTTGTATCATATTTATTCAAAACAAAAAGCTGTGCATATTTAGAAATAAGAAAAACAATTAGTAATTTAATTTGAAATGAATTTTTGTGGTGTTTTTTTTTAATTGTAGGCACTCTAACTACTGCGCAAAATCTCCTTTCCCCACCTGTGATGCGTTTATGATGATTGATTAAGCCATAAGAAGCATGACCGTATGAGAAAAAAAAACACATAATTATAAATTAGCAACCAAAAAAGTTCAATGAACCCAAACAGATTCATTACTCTTTCTGCTCCTACGTACACACATAAAGAAATAGTGATAAAAAGTAGTTGAAAGTCGGGTAAACTTCTGACAGCTTTTTTATGACTGATTAACAGACAAGGGTATTAAAACAAAAACAAAAAACACAAATTGATCGTTTCTGAAAGATATTTTTGCTATTGAAGAAAATAATTCCATATTAATATTAATTTATCTGAACTCATCATAGAAATGTAACATAAGTACTTTTGTTTAGCAAACAATGCCAAAAACGTCACACTGTCAGGTACATACCTGTCGAACGAGCCGCATGTTCGTATGCTAACGAATGAATGCGCAAAGTAATCACGGCAAATGAGATGAATACTGAGCACACAAGGCTAAGGGTTTGTTATGCATACATCCATACGTACATATGTAGGAAAACAACAAAAAATACACAGCCGCAGAAAATCATGAAATGTTTTCCATATTACAGTACATTCAATTCAGTAAAAACCAGTTAAAAATTAATTGCAGATTTGAATTTTGAAAGCGAACGTTGTGTTAGTCATCACATAATACATACCTGCATACATTCATACATACATAAAAAAACCTTAATACGACAAATTTATTACAATTTATTTTAAAACCCATACACCACTGAACATATACGTAAGCAAGATTTAGGCGTTGTTTAACCTTAAAAGGTCTTTTCGCTCACTTATAATGCAGCAAACTCGAAACTAAATCCTTCATACTTAGGCTTTCGAAACGCCACATTCTATCCGGTTATAGCCAAGGTATAAGTGCCTTGCAAAGTCAGATATCGCCGAATCTTATTAGTAGTTATTGAGCAACAAACACATTATCACCATAAAACTCATCATTGTACGAGTATTCGCTAACGGAAAATTTCTCTCGAAAACTTTAAGAACTTGTAGACAGTTAAAATAGTACTACGATTATACAATATTGTTAGTTGTTCATTCTGATAGACTGGCGACATGTTTTACAGAAAGCATCTCGACTTCGACTCGTTCTGTTCTAACTAATTTAACGCCGTTATATTTCAAATCTAGAGAGAAATGGGTGAATAGAAATACGTAGTAATTAATGTGTGGTATTTCCGGGTCTGTGAAATCGATATCTATGTAAATTTAATTTATCTGAACATACTTATAACATATTGTTTTTAGACGTTAGAGAGAACTACATTTTATAGACTTATGTATTTGATATTAAAATAGATGAAACCCGATTTTCGTCAACGACATAAGCTTATTGCAATTTACCATCTCTTAGTCCTTTGTAGTAGTTAAGGAGATAAGATTTTTGGAACTAAGCGTGTTCCCACCTGTTCGTTTATTTAGTTTTAAGAAACTACATATCAGACCCCGGGACTTATTAAAATAATTACGACATAACTCGAATTATATAAAACAAGAAGTATTCACTGTTAATCAGATAACAGATTAATGAGACCATAAAAATAATATCCAATGAAACCGATAAGCATGCATAAAGGCATGAAGAGCTATTTACACTTTTATATGATCTATGTATTGCTTAAATATTTTTTTTGAGGATGGTAGGAGACGAGTTTATTGGGGAAAATCTATCCACATTGAAAAGAAGAAAATAATAAAGTATTGTATAAACTTTATCTGACAAGATTGACATTACTTCCTTTCATCTACTCTATGAAAACAGTTGTACTCACAATAATAGCATCAACAAAAAGCTGAATAGAAGTTAGGGATTCCAAATTGTATAAAAATATACCGACTTTCTCGAAGGGTCTTCGTGATGGACTCGAAAATTATAGATCTTTCGAATTCGATAGGGCCGAAGCCTTTTTGGATATAATCAATCAGCATTAAAAATGTGGGGCTCAAATAACAAAATAAAAGATCAAACCCGAACGGATGAAAAAACTACATTTTGACGTATTTTAATACAAATCTTTATTATCACCTTCAAAATTATCACCTTGGTCCAATATGTCTGATCTAATGTCAAGGATCAGTAGTGAAATACTTATGTTAGTGATAAGATATACTCCCGAAAACACTTCTGCCACATTTTCAACGATTACGTAGTCATGATTCCATTGGAAACACAAAATTTCAATCAAACTCGAACACGCACTAATTGATAAAGAGAAACTTCACGCGGACATAAACAGAAAAAAGCTTGAACCAATCTAGAAAAAAATTTTTATCGAATTGTTTTGCCCGCACCTAATCCCTTTTACGAGTATACGACCAAAACCTGGAAAACTCCAAAAGTAATTGCTAAATCCATGAAAAGGCCGTAGGAAATATCCGACAAAGGAAAGTTTATATTTTATGTTCAAAGCAAAAATAACGGTACTCTATGTACTAGTTAAATGTTCTGAAGTTTTTGGCTCTAAGCAGATAGCTATGGCATAAGTAGGAGCGGCCAGTCTTGAAACTTTTATAAATTTAAGAGCATGAGGATAAAGTGAGGACGAAAAATCTGAAGCTATAGAAGTGATTTCTGATAACATCCGTGGATGGTGAATGTAATAAATTCGAGCAAACGATTTTGGCATAAAAATTCATTCACTTACAGCTGGTAAGATGCTCCGAATCCACAAAAACCTAGAAAAGCTTGTACATTCAAACATTTACTGTATGAAAAACTTTTTTATTTTAGATATTTTCACGAAATTTGGCATAGATTATTTTCTGGACAAATTATTGTCCAAGACAACGATAAAATATGTGAAGAAATTTTCCAGATCGGATCACTATATCGTATAGCTGTCATAGAAGCTGAACGATCAAAATCAAGTTCTAGTATGGAAACTTCGTTATTTCTGAAGGGTATTCTAGCTTCGGTGCAACCGAAGTTAAATGTTTTTCTTATTTTTAATTAGAAACATCAACTGGATTGGCAAGGCTAGATACA